TGACTGTGTGTGTGTGTGTGTGTGTGTGTGTGTGTGTTTGAGGGACTGTCGAAAACAGGCCTGAGAAACTCTTTGAGAGTCGACGCCAAACCTGATTTAAACACCTCAGTTTGGAGAGTTTGGACTGCAGTTTCGACCCGAAGCACGAACTGGCACGACTCGCTGCTTTTAAATACTCTGGAAATTACGGTGTGTGTGTGTGTGTGTGTGGTGGAGGCCTGCGTGTGTGTGTGGAGTGCTTGTTGAGACTTCATTTATCTTACTCACTGCACATGTGTTTAGAGGTAAGAGTTTCCATGTGTGCACGTGTTTAGGTGTGTGTGTGTGTGTGTGTGTGTGTTTGCGATGCACGGTGTATTTGTATCCAATCTGTGGCTAATTTTCAGTCTCCGTCATTAATCTCCCGCGCTTAAAGCTTCAGTGGCTTTAAAACAACTGTGTAACTTTGCACGTTTCCTCGCTTCAACCAAAAGTCTTTCCAGACTGTTCTGATGAGTCAAGCATCACTATTATTACTTTTGCTCATATTTCATGTTAGGGGTCCGCAAAACATCTGATGCTTTGATATAAAACTTGTGCGCAGCGTTTGATCTACAGACATGAATTGTAATTCAGACATATTAGCTGTGCGATTTTCATTTTTCACCTGACAAATTCTCAGAGACACTCTTTAAAGTCCCCCTGTGGTGAAAATCAAGCTTTTAATGTTGTTTATGTGTCTATGTGGTGTTTTTAATCTGCTTTTTAAGACAAACCATGTGTAAGTTCATAAGTCGACAGCATTGCTGAGTATTTTCTGCTTAAAAACTGCAGTGAACCAAAGACAGTCTCAAACACACGGTTTGAAATCGCTGGTGTTTCTGACGTCACAAACGACCTTGTAACCAATCAGATCAACTTGTGTGATCGTCAACCAGTGGATCTCTGAGCTGAGTGAGTGAGTGGAGGCGGGGCTTATTTGCATATTCATAGAACCGCTATACTAAATGAGGCGAGGGTGTCGAGTTACATTCAAGCTATTTTAACAATTTTTTAAAGGAAAAAACTGTCCTTTTGGTGAGTTTTAAGGGATAAAATGATTGACTACAGCGGGACTTTAAGTTTTGCCCCGCCATTGATGGATTTTTCCGGTTTTCACTGTTATAAGGAAGGGGGGGCTATAACGCATCATCTAAAAGAGTACAGAATCTCTGGATCAAAACAGGCGAAAAAGAAGCAGAAACAAGCGATAGCATATGAAAAATAACGCGATCATCAACATTAAACAGCATTTAACTCTAAACTGCCTGAAATGACCATTGTTCTGAATCCCTTTCAAACATATCTTGGACAAAAACATGATTTACATGATTATGAAAAAAAGAAAGCTTGAAGCTATAAAAGTTTTTTTTTTTTTTTTTTTTTTTTTTTTTTTTGTAAGCGGAGGGTCTGTTCTTTCTTTGGATATATTGCATCGTGTTCAGATATTCGTACAACAATATTCTGGGGGCCAGCAACTTTTTTTTTTTTTTTTTTAACGCTGGTGGGGAAAGAGTTAAAAAATAAAGGATCTTTATTGGCATTGATGGTTTCATGAAGAAACTTTAACATTCAAGGTTCTTTAAAGCAGAAAAAAGGTTCTTTAGATTATTAAACATATTCTTTTAAGAACTAAAACCAAAGAAAAAAAACAAATCTATGGCATCACTCGGAAAACTCCCATTGGGAACCTTTATTTTTCAGAGCGTAGCAACAGGCACAGAACACCTTAGCAACCGTGTGTGTGTGTGTGTGTGTGTGTGTGTAGCAGACAGAAGCGCAGCTGTAATGATTCTATAAACACGCCGTCAGAGTGAACGATCATCTGTGTAGAATCTGTGCAGCACAAGATTATTTATGCATATCTAATATCTGTGAGTGTTTAGTTTAGTCTGTTTGTGTATGTCTGGTGATTTACACCATGCACAAATCCTCTTCATCAGCATCTTTGAGTCATTTTTCAGTTATCTAAACATCCTTAAAACAAAGCGAAATGAAAGATTTTAAAGTTATTTTCTAACCGTAAATCTAATGCTGTGATACATCTTACATAAAATAGTGTTTTTTTGGGGGGGGGAAACAATAAACTAAAATGAAATCCTAGCTGGAAAATGGTGAAATTTGGCACACAGATAGAGGACAATCTGAATTTAGCTCACAGCAACTTTGGAGTCTCTAAATGGACCCCTCTAGCGCCACCAACTGTCCGAAGTTGCACTTACGTGTAAGAATAAGAAACATAATTCAGTTTTCCTCGGATTCCTTGGCTCAAGACTAGTCTTTTTTGCTTCTCAATCTTGGATATAAGTTATTTATTGGAAAAACAAGATAAAAACGTAATGACTTTTGTGGTTTGAGCAGAATCCAGGTGCCGTTCAATGCACTGAAAGATTCATCGGACGTCCTGAAGCACACGAGCGCTTCTTGCTGTGTTGTGCTGAGCGTGTGGTCAGGTCTTCATGTCGGATCAGCGAGAGGCTGGAGGAGTCGTGGGTTAGTTGTTAGACTCCATGTTTGGGCCTAAAACGCTGTGGGTTTGGTTTGTAACTCAAACATGCTGTTTTAAATGCATGTCGTCCAGTGACTCTTGGAGTCTGTCATGATGAATATTTTAAGGAACTGTGTTTTTTAAGTTTGCACGCCGCAGTACACATGGTAATGCAAACGTTTGAGCCAAAAAATTGCAAAAATGCACAAAAACCAAAAATGCGGTGTGGAAAAAAAAATCCCCATATATGCAATTTTTATCCTCCATTTAGCCTTTTGTGCTGGCTTTAGTTTTTGGGCCTTTTCCAGTGAAAGGAAAGAGACATTTCTTGAATATACATGTCTTGTTCTAATTTGGTTCAATATATATATATATATGTATATAAACATTCTCTTTTATGCTGATTCTTCATTTAAATATGATTCTGCATATCTCCATAATATTAATCTTTCCATTCTAACTTTAGAGCGGAGGTGAAATGTTTTATAATGGCCGAAATATAAACAAACAACATTTCCCACTAGGAACAATTTCTTAAATATTATTATTTATGAAGTATGCATATAAATATATAAATTACATGTGCTTTGCCTGAATATGAATTGCAACGTTGTGTTTATATGCATAAGTTCATATTACATTGTAGTACTACAGTAGTGGGCAAAAATAATGTCCGGAGGGGATTCTTGTTTTTTTTTATGACCCTACAAATTCGATTAAACCATTAAAATATGAGGAAAATATTTTATATTTTTTAAATAATTAAATTATGAGGGAATAACAAAACACTAAACTTTGGTTAAGGTATTTATCTGACAAAATTATTCGTCAAACTACAGCTACAGGTTTTATTTTACTAAGCAAAAAGAAAAATGCATTGAAAAACAAAAAGCTGACAGGGAAAAGCACACAACATAATCAGTTATTAATATTTCATTGGTTCTCTCTTGTTTTTGCTCATACATTCTTTGTATGACAGTCTGGCCAAAAGTTAAGTTGCACAATTCGTCATGTTTCATTGCGTTATTATCACAAATAAAACTATTGACTCCAAGTACACATTATGATTACAAAACACATTTTTGATCATATTTAAATGAAGGGTGAAGATAGGCCAGATATCACTTTTGGCCGCTATTGTATAATATTATGCAAAGTGTCATTTCATAATCCTGATGATTTTTATATTTGTATGAGAGTGTGTCCAAACGTTTGACATGTTTAAATCAAGAGACTTGTAGGCGTTACACACAGGAATTATTTTGAGTGATTAAATGTCACATTGTTCTGTCAAGCATTTGTTTGATTTATTATTGAGATGTTTTTTTCTCTACGATGAACATTAACCTGTGATTGTCCATGAATTATTGGTATCAAATCGCTACATAAATCTGTCATTTCATCTAATATTCAGACCAACTGAAGTGGAGGAAGAGTTTGATGCTCTTCTGGAGAAATAAAACAATGGATGTTTTATATTCAGCAGCAAAACTAATATATTGAAATAGATTCATATGCTATTTTATATTCTTAGTTGAATGTGCATACAGTGTTTATAAGAATATGACTTACGAATATTATAAAGTGTTTCCAATTTGCATTACTGCTTTCATCATGTAACCACATTTTGTAAAAGGTTTGATGATAAATCCATTATTAGCACATTTTTGATTCATTTTAATTTCTTTAACAAGGAATAAAACATGTTTTTTTAATTCCTGTATATATAGAATGCATACCTATTATATTGATTTTAAATCTTAGACCTATTCTTCTTTATTACCTGATTTATTTCATCCTTTTAAAAAGTAAGGCTCATAAACACACACACACACACACACATGCACGTGTGTATATATATATTTATATATGTGTGTGTATATATATATATAACCTGATGTTTATTATTATTATTATTGAAGGTTGTTATTTTTGCAAGGTTAGCACATGCGCCAAACGCAACATTAAAAATCTAGTTTTCCGTGTCTAAATAAACCAAAGCTGTAGATTTGGCACAGAAAAGTCAAAAGACAAATAAACTAGTGCACAGACTGACCGGAGTTATTCTTTAATTGCTGTCGTTTTCCCTGAGTTTCACAGTAAAAACATTTCTCCCCCACAAACATTAAAATATAAGTATTCAAGTAAACTTAGAAATAAACATGCAAATTTTGGCTATAAGACATTACACAGTGTGTCTCGGCTTCAGTCAAGGGTTGTTTCATCTTTCATATATATATATATATATAAGAGAGTCAGGTTACACTTTATTTTAAGGTGTCATTGTTATAGTGGAATTATACATGTAAGTACTGAGTAATATTCAATAACAACATGTACTTATTATAAAATTAGGGTTTGGTTAAGGGATAGTTGCATGTAATTATGCATGATTTACTGTTATTACTACATGTAACGTGTAACAAGGACACTGTAAAATAAAGTGTTACCGACAGTTATTATGTCTGTGACCATTTAAATAAAGCCATGTGAGTCTTGTTGAAATGTTTTTATTTCATTCGCTTTAAAGCTAGCTTTAATAAATAATGGTCCACTGGTCCTGAGGTGAACAAAAACATAGAAAAGTCCTTCCCTCACTGATATCCGAGTCCAGGCGCAGTGGTCAGTCTCTGTCCGTACAGTGTGTACGGGGAGTAAAACGGGCCCGTGGCTGCAGGAACCGGCACCGGCCCGCCGCTCGTCTGTAACGGGCTCTTAGCGTACGGGTGATACCGCGTCCCGATCCCGAGCGTGTGAAGCGGGGACCTGAGCGCTAGCGGGGCTCCAGGCATGTGACACGCCGGAAGAGTTAAAGAGTTGGGATATCCCGACACGAGCTTCTCCGCGAACGCAGTGTGAGTCCGCAAGTGGCTCAGAAGCTCCTCTGAGCTGGAGAAGCGCTTGTCGCAGGGCCCGTTTACGGACACCCAGTTGCAAATGTGCTGGGACTCGTTGGGGATTAAAAAGCCGTACGGATACAGCGGGTGTCCGGGGAACGAGTGCGTGGCGGTTGACAGCGGGTGCATGGGATACATGAGCGGGTACCCGGGCTTGCTGTCGTGCGAGGCGCTGGATGAGAGATGGCTAGCGCAGTGGTAGCTCAGGCAGAACGGGTCTCGGCACATGATGGATGGAGGAGAGGCTCCGGCGAGGGGACTGGACCCTGTTTTACTGCTGAGATTCATCATCTGACCGCCTCCGCTGGGCTTGCTCGGGTCCAGGGACACGCCGTGGGATAGGAAGGGCTGAGCGTAGCCGGCGTACGCTCCGGGATACGCTAGTCCTGCGGGGGAGATGGGGAACACGGTGTGGCCGGTTCTGTAGGGAGAAACCGGCGCTACGAGTCCCGATCCGAGAACGGACGAGGCCGAGGATGTGGGAACGCTGTCAGATGTGACCGGCTTGGAAACATCCTTTGCCTCGCTGTTACTCTCAGTTCTTCCCGGTGTATCCGGAGTGGAGCTTTTACGCGCATCGCTTTCCTTTTTCCCTGTTTTATCCCCTGATTTATCTCCGGGTTGCGGAGAGATGGAGCTGCAGGAGTTCGGACTCCCCGTGCGCGGCGTGACGGGTCGACAGGTGGCGCTCGGGACACGGAAGCTGGTCTTATCTCCACTCGTGTCTTTTCTCTCGGATGATTTGGCGTATGGCTTGAAACTGGATTTGTCCTCGGCTCCGATGTCGCTGATCTTCAGCGGGCTGGATTTGCCGTCCTTGTCCGAGGCGACGGCCGAGAGTTTCGTCGAGGAGAGGGGATCCGACTTCCCAATTTGGGAGCATGTTTGTGCGAGGAGGGCGAGCGGACTCTTCTTGGCATCCAACTGTGAAAACAGACAGATTTAAGTATATTATAGTTTCAAAACAACACTCATATTTACATTTGGCATTACCACTGAATGAAAATAATGATGCTTTCCACATAAATGTGCAATCTATCTATCTATCTATCTATCTATCTATCTATCTATCTATCTATCTATCTATCTATCTATTAATTATTAATAATATTAATTATTTCCAACTGTGAAAACAGACCGGTTTAAGTATACTATAGTTTCAAAAGAACACTCATATTTACATTTGGCATTACCACTGAATTGAACTACTAAAAATATTGATGCTTTCCACATAAATGTGCAATCTATCTATCTATCTATCTATCTATCTATATTAATTATTTCCAACTGTGAAAACAGACCGGTTTAAGTATACTATAGTTTCAAAAGAACACTCATATTTACATGTGGCATTACCGCTGAATTGAACTACTAAAAATATTGATGCTTTCCACATAAATGTGCATTTAATTAATGAGTTCATGACATTATCAAGGGTAAAAAGGGTAAATGTTTAGTGTTGGTTCACGTTAGGCGCTGTGAAACCTTTGAGCACGACTCAAGCCTCTTGAATCTTAAATCTAAAATGCTGCAGAGACATTAAATCAAATGTCAAGAGGGTTTGTTATATCCCTCTTTACAGCAATAAAATGTGTGTCCATATGGCAACATATAGTTTTCCTTCCCTTTATATAACAAAATAAAAATGCATTGTTGGAACTGGAAGTAGAAGGTCAGTTTTTAAGGAAACCATTAATAATATTTATTTTATTTTTCATACAAGACTCAAAATTGACTGGAAAAGATGCATAAATAGTGGAAAGTATTTATTTTTACACTTTGCAGTATTTATGCATCTTTGATAAATGTTCACAAAGCAACTTTGCCTTACAGAATTAGTATAGAATTATCGTATGGCAATTCGCATAGAATTGCAGTGATGCAATTTCAGAAATGCTGAGGTTTATAGAGGCCTAATTATTTATGCATAAAAACAATTCTCCAATGTTGCGCTTATAAGCTTTTATCGCCAGTATTAAATCACAATTATTCGCTTATTTTGAGTTTGTAAGAGTATAAATATATCAGTGCACAACAGACACATTAAAGTAATTAGATAAATTAATACTTTTAAGAAAAGTTTTTTTTAAGGTTGCCATAGGCTATAAACGTTATCAAAAAATAAAAAAGGCTGCGCGTTCAGTATTTGCGCGTTCACACGGCAGATTAAGAGTTGAAAATAAAGACTGGAATGAGGAAAAAAGAAGAAGAAAGGTGTTTCGTGTCGCAAACTGTCAGCTTTACCCATAGACTGTAAAAAAAAAAATACTGCGAAGTATAAAGGGTTAATTATAACCTCTGGTAAATATTAGTGTATTTTCAACACGAAAAGGCTGCGCGTTCAGTATTTGCGCATTCACACAGTAGATAAAGAGTTGAAAATAAAGACTGGAATGAGGAAAAAAGAAGAAGAAATGTGTTGTTTCGTGTCGCAAACTGTCAGCTTTACCCATAGACTGTGAAATAAATAGTCTTTACCTCAATCGGGCTGACGGGAGTGGACGGGAGCGGCTGAAGATAGTCCGGGTGAAGGATGTGTCCCGTGCGCGCGCTCAGCATTTTCAACACTTTCACGGGTAAACGGCTCGCCTGGCGCTGCGGGTCTGCGGGAGACACTGAGTGCTGGACGGGTTCACGGCTTCGGCTCTCGTCCCACACTGGATACACCACACTAAACACAGCAGACTCCGTAGGCAATGTGATCATGTCCCACTTCTCTCTGCGTAATCTGGAAACGCATCTGACAAAAAGTATTTCCCAAGAAGGCAAACAAATGTGTCCAAATGTTTAAAAAAAAACACACAATATAATCCTTAAAGGTTATTGCTGGGGAAAGGTTGCAGAGAGACTTCGGAGCGCATCTTATCTTCCGCGTCGCGCACTCGCATTGAGCTCAGCTCACACATACCTCGCGTTCACGCGCACCCGGGACTAAAGCCTTCACTGGCGTCCAATCAGAGCGCCGCGTGAGGTGATTGACAGGTCCAAGGGATGTGAGACGTCACCGTTGTGGGCGTTTGTTTTGGCCATATTGAGGAGGTGAAAACAATCTCACATCAATATATAAATCCTATCTTGTTATAAAACAAATCTAGTATTATAATTTATAGGCTCTATTCTTTTAATGTTAATACAAAAAAAAAAAAAGCACACCAGGTTTGATAATAAATCTGGTGTGATTTTTTGTGTGTGTGTGTGCTTACATGAGTGATGGCTTCTTCACAGGTCATCTCAGACTGGTATTAGAAATGTCTGCAGCTATAAACTACAAACTTGAGTAATGTAGAGAATTCTGCAGCAGTTTTACCGGCCCCAATAAAAAACATTATACTCTGATGACACGTCCAACAAATATTTCCAAAAACCATAAACCCAAAGTGTAAAAATGAATTGGAGAAGTAGTCATAAATGTCATATCTGGTGATTAAAACGAAAAATATGGTATTGCGGTAAATATGGTAATTGTATTCTATCTATCTATCTATCTATCTATCTATCTATCTATCTATCTATCTATCTATCTATCTATCTATCTATCTATCTATCTATCTATCTATCTATCTATCTATCTATCTATCTATCTATCTATCTATCTATCTATCTATCTATCTATCTATCGTTTAGTAATCCAGTGTTTATCTCTCTATCTCTGAATATGAATAGTTTAGTAATCCAGTGGTGATTGTTATAAATGAAGGCTCTGGAACACATGCACTGATGGATGAGTGTGTGTTGCTGTGTTCAGTGTGTGTGTGTTGCTGTGTTCAGTGGAGGCTGTCAGCTCTCGGTTCTGCCGGTGAGTTATTAGGGCCAGAAACTCCCCCTTTATTGTGTGTGTGATGGATGACGCCCAGCACACGGGCGTTATCCCGTAATGGGAACACATTTCAGACGGGCCATATTTCACCACATTTAAGTAGAAAGTTTTGAACGCCTCCTCGATATTTCACACCCTTTTGGCATATTTATGGAAAACTCCACGCATGCAAATATAATTACACGCTACTGCCTGTAGGACTAAACAGGGCTACAAAACACACACTGTAGTGCAGGTACAGTTTTATTAAAGCAAGTTCTTTTGTTTTATAAATTTAACTCTGGAGTTCATTTAATGATATCAGTTTAATATGAATTTTTTTTTTTTTTTTTTTTTAATGAGCCTTCAAACTTGTTTGATCTTCTGGCTAGAAAATATTACTATAATATTAATCAATATTAAATATTTGCTTCTTTGTTTGTTTAGATACACATAACAATATTCCATTAGAACCTAGAGAGACTAGGTAGGATGTTACTATACACACTACTATACACACTACTATACACTATACACACTACTATACACACTACTATACACACTACACACTACTATACACACTATACACTACTATACACACTATACACACTACTATACACACTACTATACACACTACACACTACTATACACACTATACACTACTATACACACTACACACTACTATACACACTATACACTACTATATACACTACACACTACTATACACACTATACACTACTATACACACACTACTATACACACTATACACTACTATACACACTATACACACTATACACTACTATACACACTATATGCTACTATATATACACACTATACACACTACACTACTTTACACACTACTATACACTATACACTACTTTACACACTACTATACACTATACACACTACTATACACACTACACACTACTATACACACTATTCACTACTATACACACTACTATACACACTATACACACTATTCACTACTATACACACTACTATACACACTATACACTACTATACACACTACTATACACACTACACACTACTGTACACACTATTCACTAGTATACACACTACTATACACACTATACACTACTATACACACTACACTACTATACATACACTACTATACACACTATTCACTACTATACACACTACTATACACACTATACACTACTATACACACTACTATACACACTATACACTACTATACACACTACTATACACACTATACACTACTATACACACTACTATACACACTATACACTACTATACACACTACACACTACTATACACACTACTATACACTACTATACACACTACTATACACTGCTATACACTACTATACACAGTACTATACACTAGACACTACCATACACACTACTATACACTACTATACACTACTAGACACTACTATACACACTACACACTACTATACACACTATACACTACTATACATTACTAGACACTACTATACACACTATACACTACTATACACTACTATACACTACTAGACACTACTATACACACTACACACTACTATACACACTATACACTACTATACATTACTAGACACTACTATACACACTACTATACACTACTATACACTACTATACACACTACTATACACACTACTATACACTACTATACACACTACTATACACTATACACAAAAGACAGAATATTAATATTCAGATTTAATACATTATATTCATAATAACATGTGACTAGGATCTGATGCATTTATAATATTTGTAAAACGTTTAGCAGTTTCTTTGGAAATTCATTTGATTAATATTCCTTTGCATATGTAGGCCTGGGCAAGCTTTGACGGCTCATGAGGACGGGAAGTAAATGTTGGTAATTAATAGCGGCTGTTAATTATTGTGTTTACAGTTGCATGCTTTGTTTTGTATAAAGTCACTATCATGGAAATGTCAAAACTTTACTCACTGTTTTTGAGCTGTACTCAATTATAATATGGAGCTAATAATGCAGAAGCATTAAGTATCTGAATGCAGAACAAGGCAAAGGAAAGCGATTGATTGCCGGCTGAGAGAGGAGGATCAGTTAGTAAGAGATAAGCCAGTAATTGAGGTTATTGCTTTTATTGGGAATAGGGAGCACCGGAGAGATGTTGAGTTGTACAGCAGGATCATCTTCTGCTCTGCTCATTATCTTCTGCTCATTAATCCACGGCAGAGACGCATCGAGCAGGACCTGATGGGGTGAAGAAAGAGAAGACGCAGAGCTCATGCAAACATATGGCGAGCTGGTTTCCCTGGATGGCGTGTGGTCGAGCAGCGGTGCAATAAATAAACCTGCGCGCACACACACACACACACACACACACACACACACTCATCATCCTTTACTTGTGATACTAACCTGAAAACATGCAGGCATTCTTGCACTAAGAGCCGGGTTCATCTTAACAAACAAATGCACATTCAAGATTTTCACATTAGTAAAGTGTAGTGGTGTTAATGCGAATAGAAAACAATGCAACCTTTTAATTAATACAATGATTAATCACATCCAAAATAAAAGTTTGTGTTTACATAATACATGTGTGTGTACTGTGCATAAATATTGTGTATATATAAATACACACACATGCATGTATATATTTAAGAAAAAATTATTATTTATATAATATAAATGATGCATACATGCATATGTGTGTATTTATATATAAAAAATAATTATACACAGTACACACACACACACATATACACTCACCGGCCACTTTATTAGGTACCCCATGCTAGTAACGGGTTGGACCCCCTTTTGCCTTCAGAACTGCCTCAATTCTTCGTGGCATAGATTCAACAAGGTGCTGGAAGCATTCCTCAGGGAGTTTGGTCCATATTGACATGATGGCATCACACAGTTGCCGCAGATTTGTCGGCTGCACATCCATGATGCGAATCTCCCGTTCCACCACATCCCAAAGATGCTCTATTGGGTTGAGATCTGGTGACTGTGGAGGCCATTTTAGTACAGTGAACTCATTGTCATGTTCAAGAAACCAATTTGAAATGATTAGAGCTTTGTGACATGGTGGAAGTAGCCATCAGAGGATGGGTACATGGTGGCCATAAAGGGATGGACATGGTCAGAAACAATGCTCAGGTAGGCCGTGGCATTTAAACGATGCCCAATTGGCACTAAGGGGCCTAAAGTGTGCCAGGAAAACATCCCCCACACCATTACACCACCACCACCAGCCTGCACAGTGGTAACAAGGCATGATGGTTCCATGTTCTCATTCTGTTTACGCCAAATTCTGACTCTAACATCTTAATGTCTCAACAGAAATCGAGACTCATCAGACCAGGCAACATTTTTCCAGTCTTCAACTGTTCAATTTTGGTGAGCTCTTGCAAATTGTAGCCTCTTTTTCCTATTTGTAGTGGAGATGAGTGGTACCCGGTGGAGTCTTCTGCTGTTGTAGCCCATCCGCCTCAAGGTTGTGCGTGTTGTGGCTTCACAAATGCTTTGCTGCATACCTCGGTTGTAACGAGTGGTTATTTCAGTCACTGTTGCCCTTCTATCAGCTCGAACCAGTCTGGCCATTCTCCTCTGACCTCTGGCATCAACAAGGCATTTCCGCCCACAGAACTGCCGCTCACTGGATGTTTTTTCTTTTTCGGACCATTCTCTGTAAACCCTAGAGATGGTTGTGCGTGAAAATCCCAGTAGATTAGCAGTTTCTGAAATACTCAGACCGGCCCTTCTGGCACCAACAATCATGCCACGTTCAAAGTCACTCAAATCAACTTTCTTCCCCATACTGATGCTCGGTTTGAACTGCAGGAGATTGTCTTGACCATGTCTACATGCCTAAATGCACTGAGTTGCCGCCATGTGATTGGCTGCTTAGAAATTAAGTGTTAACGAGCAGTTGGACAGGTGTACCTAATAAAGTGGCCGGTGAGTGTATATATGTATATATTTATTTTATTTATAAATATAAATATTTATGAATATGAATTTATTTATTTTAAAGATCTAAATTGGACACAAAATTAAAATAAGCATTCAGACACTATGTCTGAATGTTTGATATTTAGTTCTGAGAAAAGCCTCTACGACGATTGATTCTGGTA